CTGTGTCTGTGTCTGTGTGTGTGTACGCGTGCGCGTGCGCGAATGCGCGTGCGGGCAGTAAATCTTGTAACTAATAAACCGAACTGGTGAAAGGCAATCACTGCCTTTGCAAAACCTCAGACGATGCTCAGACACGGCATGAGGGCCTTGGTGAATGACATCGCGCAGGACACACACGGCACTTGACATCTTCAAGCTCGTACATCTTGGTTCAGCCCGCAGCCACCTTGAATTTCATGTAATCCGCCGCTGTTCCGCGACTTTGTGGAAAAAAGGCTGCAAAGGCTCAAACGCTTCAAAAGACCATGATACCCTATGCCTTCAGGCCGTCGAGCAAGTCGAGCAAGTTTGTGCAGAATTTGTCGAGCGAACCACTGCCCGCCACTTGTGCGGAAAAATAATTCCAATTTCTAACAGCATACTATTGCATACTGTAGTGTGTAAGGACGATGGAACGGAGGGAGGACAGGAACAAGTCTTTACATGTGCATTTCATAACTTTGTCCTGTGACAACCACCACTTTCACCGTTGTGTTCCACATCCGCTCCACATGGTTTACGCATGGACGATGGCTTTGCAGGCAGCCTGCAAATGCTTGTTATCTTCCGACTTGCCGGAGCCGCTCTAGGTTGCAGCCAGGCTGGCGAAGCCATCCAACAATCTTGTCCGAGAAAAAACCCACCCGTCCAACCCGCGAAGAAGCCATAAAATGGCCTCAGCAGAAGTGTTGTTTTGCGTAGCCATGCTGGAACGGTTCATCGAGTTGAAGCAGTGGTCCTAACCATCACAAGGTGCTTGGCTCAGCGCGACATCTCCTACATCCGCCTATAGCGTCTGCACGCCTTCCCTGCACTGACGTGGGCCCGCCATTTGTGGAATGGATGTAGCGGCAACTCTTTGTAGACATCATAGAAGGTTCTGATGTTTGGCCTGGTGAAGCAAAAGACTCACTCATGAGAACACACGTTGAGATGTCTACTAAACGACTTCAGGCCAGCCTGACAAGATCCACATGAGAAGTGAGGTACTGCACCAGGGACACAGTCGGGACAGACTGTCGCGCTGTAATCCCCTTCACCTCACTTCTGACAAGAACAGGGCACACATGGCATTATCTGATCTCGGCAAGAGAGCCGCGCCCATCGTGCACCAACAACTAGCTACGCGCCCAGGCACACCAAGAAAACCCAGCATCTCCAAAACGAACCTCAGGTCTCGCTGGCCTAAGTGCATGTAATCCAAAAGCTGCCACTGCCCGAAGCATAGTTGCGGTAACACACTGGATGACCAAATGCAGCCACCAGCGCATTTCCGCAATCTCCACAAAAACAAACCCAGGTGGAATGGAAACGCCAGCTTGTGCCGGCAGCAACGCAAACATTTGGAGTCGACGAAGTCGACGCACATGTACCGTAGCAACCTGCATGAAACACCACACCACCCGGCATTCATGTAAGGCCCAAACCCTAAACCTCTAAACCCCAAAAACCCCGAAGCCCCAATCCAACCCTAAACCCTAAGATCGCTAATGCCCAAAAACCCTCAACCCTAAACCTAATCCAAAAACCCTAAAGCCTCAACCCCAAACCCTACAAACCCTAAGATCACTGATGCCCGAAAACCCTAAACCCTAAGCCCGTAACCCCAAACCCACAACTTTAAATCTCACCAGTGCGTCTGAAATGCACCAAGCTTGTGTCAGAATTGTCCCTGACATGGTGTTGAATTTGCACTCACCCTGCTGGCCCGGAAATCCGGGCCTGAAATCTGAGCTGAAAGTGCCCCCCTGCGTCTGAAACATACAAGGCTCTTCTAAGTGGACATTCAGAGGGCTGTGGGGGAAAGTCCACAAGTTCAACAGTCTTTCTGCTTTCAGAAATCGTACGTGGCTGTTCAGTTGTTGTCCAGATATGGTATTTCGGTCAGTGGTTTCATAACTTCAGACTGTGTAAGTGCAAGTCAACGTGACATTCTGATACTTCACACGGTTCTGTGTGTTTCCAAATATTGTTCAAATTGCTATCTCTATGCATGTGCGCAAGATCTCTTTAGATCCTTTCTGCCAAATATGTCGTCTTGTAACACACACTTTTCGAATATGCATGCTTCCTGGCACCGCAAATAATCTGATTGAAGTCGCCGCTGTCGCGGCTCGCAAAAACACAGGTCGGGTTGGCAACTGTTCAAGTTGGCGGATGAAGCCAAAGCTCTTAAGGGGTCGCGTGCAACTCATTTCGGTTGGTTTGTCGTCATTTCCCAGTCCAATTTAGGAGACTGCTTCTAGAATGGATGAGGTAAGGACCTGGATAGTAAGGGATTTCGTTCAGGATTATGGGGATTGTGTGGGTCTCAGTGTGTGTGTGTGTGTGGGTGGAGGTGATATGGTAGGTGGTTGGGATTTGGGATGCATGCGGATATGTTGATGGTGTTGCTACGGTTGGATGAAAGCTGGTTTAAATACTTGCGGTGGGGTATAAAGGTTAAGTTCCGGTTGTGCGGGGTGTGACCCTTGCTTCCCCAAGACACAGCAATACACCCCACCGGCCCCGAGGCTTGGCTGACCCCTCTTCGCAGACTCCGGCCTGACTGTCCAAGGACATCTAGTCTTGCCTGCTGTAGAACCTACGGCTCAGGGTTTATGTTTGTTAGAATGTTTTACAACTCGTCGCCGGCATCACGGAAGTGAGCATCATCCAGCCCAGCATCGCGCGGGACAGTAGTGCATTGTCCTGCCTCCGTGAGTCGGGTTAGTCGGGCCGTGCACACAACCTAAACAACAAGGCCTGAAACCTACAAGTGAGGAGTACGTGGTTGGAAGCCGCTAGGGCACACTGCACTTTCTGACCGTTTCAGCTGCAGGGCTCCAGACTCTGATACGGAAGCATGATCTTTAAAACAAGAAACCAAGAGATATCAAAGGGTACTCTGCACACGGACGAAAGAGGCTACATTTCAGACTGCAGAGTCAAAGCTCGAGGCTCAGGGTCCAGCGCCTCCCCTTTCTTCTGCCTAGAACCTTCATCCCCCAACTGAGGTCGCCGCTGCATCGCTGTCTTCCTGACTGTGCTTTGTTCCAGGAGTCTTGATGCAAGCTGCTACCATTGAGACATGCTCTCGATCAGGGTATCGGTCTGATGGAGGCTTGGGACATCGCTGCAGCTGAAGCCTCCTTTGAAGAAATGGGCTTCCATCAGCCGGCCAGAAGGCAACAACTTTTTCTCGGGGTCTACGCATCTTAAGCCCTGCCAGCCCTACCACCACCAACCCTTCAAGATGCTGGACAACTTCGAGCACCTCAATGCGCACAAGGAAACACCTGCAAAGTCCACTTAGCAGGCTATAGAGCAAGAAGCAAGCGGAAGGTGTAGAGCCAAGTTGCTCCGCAGAAGCACGGTCTCTGCCCGCAGCACGCTTTTTGTAGATGCCACACCTCTGCTGCGTTCGGGGCTATCGGGTCCCGGCAGGGTTTTGGGGTTTGGATTTCGACTTTGGATGTTGGGCTCTACCTCCCGCGTCCTCCCGCGTATGACTGTGAGTGTTGAGCGTTCTTGTTGAAAGGGTGTCGTCGCTCAACGCCGATTCCGGAGCTCGACCCGTAACAAGAGGAGCCAGCACGGGCGCGTTTAGGCCTTGTTGAAAACTTGCTCGTTTCTTGGAGCGGTCTCCAGGAAATACAGTCTATTCCCGGAGTCGAAACACCGGTAGCGGGCAGAATTCGACAAGCAGATTGGTCCGGCACGAAGCTGACTCTGAACGATTTGCAATCCCAGAATTAACTTGCCCTGGTGTCCCGAATTGGCACTTGCAGGTACAAGACCGGGATGTCGGCTCTTTCGCCGCTTGGACGCGCATGCGGCGCTCGACGAGCAGCATGCGGAAGCCCTGCGGGCTACCGGCGCCACATGGAGGGGAGGGGTCTCTGGGCTTTGCATTTCTGCGCCTCAATCGCCCGGGCAGGCCCAATGCAACCACCCAATTTTTGTGCAAGCTGAAAAGCTGGATTTGAAGCCCCTATTGGATTTGTAGGGTTTGGATCTTGTCTAGTCAAGTCCTGCAGTCCTGCACACAAAAAACTGCTGGTTGCAAATGCCAGCAGATAGATTCAAGCTTGCCCCCCCTCCGGCATCCAAATGCAATTTATGTGCTGCCCATCTGAGGAAGTATCGGACATTGCCCACGTTCTGCTCGAAAACTACCCTACAAGATCCTGGACTGGGGATCACGTCCGAAGACGTGAAGCTTCCAGCAAAAGAGGGCCTGGAACAAAAGCATCAGCAGCGGCTGGTCATTGTCCGCCTCGGCTTCGCGAGCTTGTAGGTATGTGTCTAGTAGGAGGGAGCCTGTGTCCTGGCCAGAGTTGCTCTGCTGGTTTCTTCGCATGGGAGTTCAAAGCTGGCATCTACCAGCCACCAACAGGTTTACGGAGAACCTCCCAGAAAAGGCAATGCGTTCGAGTTCGCGTTGCGGGAGGTGGCTCGAGCCGGCTCAGGGTTTCAACTTAATTGTTTTGGTGTGAGGAACCGCAACTTTCGCCAAAGCATCCAAAGCCGAGTTCACAAACCAAAGCCGATGAGAGGAGACCTGAAAGTTGGGCCCTAAACCCACGGGTGCCCCGCCATCTGCCGGGCAGCTCGGGCCTTTGGAGGATGCAGGGCTGCACTGCGAGGCTTCGATTCTCCCGAACCCTACCTTTCTCCTTACTGAACCCAACCAAGCTGGAAGGTTTCAGGGCCTCTTGCCTAACAACCATCTTGCTCAGCCCCCTTACCCTGCCTACTAGAAGGGCTCCCCACTCCGTGACAGAAGCCTTCCCTAGGAGATGCTACCAGAATCAGGCAACCTGCTTCGACACTGTGACGATTGCCGGCCAAGCATGCGCACAGCTCTGTGCTCCGGAAGTTGCAGCTGATTGTTTTCAAGAGTTTGGCATGTCATATATCTGGCAACATAGTTGCACCGAGAGCTCTGCTGAGAAGTCCGCATCAGAGGAAGGTCCCCTTTGTAAGCTCCTCGCATGGCCCTGCATCAGCCGCCTTCTTGCCGTCTTCTGTGCCTGGAGCGGGTCACAGAGCGAGCCAGTCTCTTTCACATCTCGGGTCTTGAAACATATAAACCGTTACCGCTCACTGTGAGATGCCACTGCTGGCTCAGCAATCATCCAGACACTGCTTTTTCTGCCAGGCCCAGCTTGGCGAGAGCTGTGCCATGTGATGCCCGTATACAAGATGGCGAGAGCACAGCAGCACAGCACATCTCCAAGTCGCGAAAACCGTGCTAGTCCATGGCCTCCAGCCAGTGACGCCACGCTTGGAGGACGCTTTTCCGGGACTGGGCCATCGAGCCAGCCAAACGTCGCAGCATCGCTTGCCTCGTGCCCCAAAGCCCCAAGCACAATCAACATGTTGTTCTGACGATACGTGTTCCCTGCTCCCCCCATTCCTAGAGTCTTCTTCGACAGCATGTAGTTGCAGCCATGTCATGTCTGTGGATTGAATGAGGGCTGCTGCCTTCTTGATGTATTTGAGTTTCTGCAGCTGGGATTACTGGGAGGTTCGCCGGTGGTTCAAGAATCTCAACCGCAGCAGGGTCGCTCTGAAGGTCGAGGATTAAAGCATTTTGCATTCGTCGAAGGAGCCGGTGCTTTGGGAGGAAAGCATTTATTCAGGTAAAAAGCAGAAATGAACAGAACAGAACATGACAGCCAAGGATGAAGACTCGGCTCTTCGAGGGAGCGGCTGCTGTTGCTGGGTAGCTTTGGCCGCGCGGCCCTTCCCCACCTGCCCGGTGAGCTCCGCCACTCTCTTGCCATGGACCATTAAGGAGCTCGTGACTCTAATTAGTGCTCACCGAAATGCTGCTTCATACTGAGCTTCCAGTCCCGGTGCGGAATCCTCTAGATTTTGGGCATGAGCTGGGGTTTACGACAGTTCACGACTTCACCGCATGTGGCGCTCGATGTATCGATGTCGATGCGACCATGTCGTTGCCGTAAGAGGGCCCAGCACAGAGAAGACACCAGTGTTTTGGCCAGAGGCGGCCTCGGGATCCGGATAGAGTCTCTGGGCCTCTGGGCTCTCTTATTGAACAACCTTCCCACTTGCAGATGGGTATCGCGAGCAGCGGTATCTACAAGGCAGGTTTCTCATCTGTGGAGGGTTTGCAGGATCACTAGACGATACCTCCGCGCGCACTTGTTCGATACTCCTTCGGTGTCCGTACATGGGAGGTTGTGGAGCGGGATTGCAATTGTGGACTGGTAGCACTCCGTCCTCCTTGCAAACCCTTTACAATCAATCGCTCTATGCCCGTGTGACACGCTACCCCTTTACTTGCGCACGGCATTGTTGCATTCGGACCTTTGGGCTGTATCCGACAAGCGACACATCTGAAGTCAGGTTTGAGGGACTTAGACTTAAGCACCTGATGCGCGTAAGAAACATGGCGGGCACCGAAGACAATCGGCAGCCGCAAGTCGCTTTCAGTGGCCTCTCGCACCCAGCCGGCCCACACATCGGCCTTCCAGCGATGCGCCGTTTCGAACGCTTCTTCCAATCTGAAGAAACCAGGCACCAGTATCTGAAGATTCCTCGTAGGCCCGTGAGCAGCTCAGATAGCGGGCGACTGATTCGGGTTTCTACATACCAAGAGACGACATTACACACCCCCTACTTACGCCACGACCATGAAGCTCGAAGTAGATTTCGGGACTTGATGCTCTGTGTTTCAATTTAAAGACCACCAAGCTCACAAAAATCCTCAGCCGCGAAAAAGCTGCCCACACTTGCATGCGACCGCATGCGCGCGCTGGGACAGAAAGCCAGATGCCTGGAGACTTGCATCCCCACGCGTCGCAATCCTCAAGGCCACAGCCTCAGCCACAAATCACGGTGGGCTCACAGGGTGTTCCGATATTGGGCTCGCTCAAATTCGGCAACACGCATCGACATGAAATTTCGGTTGAGGCCGGGCACCTTCAGCGCCCGCAGTTTTGGAACTGCCCGGGCAGTATGATCCTAATAGCTAATGTCGGACCATCTAGGGTCATGCGAACTACTAGACGTCACCGAAATATGCAAATTAAGCAATGTCAGCAGCAACGTGCTGCTGACCCAGAGCCGTATACGCTCTGAACATCGGTCATGGGCCTCCTTTGTAAGGGACTCTGGCATGTGATGTCCTGAGAATGCTGTGGCACCGCACGATATGCTAATGTGCGCTCCGGCACATGTCTCTGGTCCCAGAAGATATCTGCAGTAAGCCAATATGAACTTCCTGCTCGTCATTGCTCGTCAATCTGAGAAAGCTACAGGACTCAATGCTGTCCATGGCTCTCGCATAAGCTCTGAAACTCACACATGACAAGTATCTGCAGCTGTAAAATCATGCAAAACCCGAGCCGAAGCTTTGAGCGTAAAGCCCAACCCTGGCCGCGTCTGAGTCTAGGCCGAGGCTACGGTGTTCTTGGACTTCGACAGCGGGGGACAAGCTGCTCAGCTGTTCAGCGTGCTTCATGCAAGCTAAGCCCGGAAGCCTAAGAGCCTCGCGGCAGACCGTGCTGGACGGATTCGTCTCCCAATTGCTTTGAGGCAACCGCCCCACCGCGGTTTCGTGCCGAGACATACCCACAAAGATTTGCATTCTGCCTAAGATCCCGACGGAGCGTTGGGCTTTGCCTCAGTCACCAAGCAGTTGGCCGGTGAAAGCACGATGCTAGGCTCATGCTGACTCACGCTTGGCGTTCTGACAGCTGACAGCATTTCGGACTGGGGCTACTTCAGGAGAGAACCTGTTCAGACTTCTTCTGCAAGGCTCTTGGGTCGCAGA